AGTGATTTTCTCTGCACATCTGTTCACTTACCTCCTTTTTAGCATACCTATTGCTATTGCTAAGTCCTATTTCTCCTGAAAACAAAGCAATAAGGGAATCTGAGCAATACCACAGAACCAGAACACTCTTTGATGCTATGGGAGGAAGAGATTCAAAACTGTATTTACCTCTTTGGTTTTTTTGCGTAGTTGAACCTATAAGAATCACAGGCAAAGCAATTGTTTATCCCAGATTCAGGAGGGCCTTGAAATCAGATTCAGGACTACACTGCCAACTTCTTATTTTAGTTAGGGTTATTGCCTTTTTTTTGAAGTCTCACGTGGTATCAGCCACTACTAGGTCCTTCTGAACAGAGCACAGAACCACGGGGTCATACACCTAATGCAATGTCTGCATCTGTCCCATTGGTTAGACTTATGCTGTGAAACACCAGTGTAGATCAAAACACACAGGCATGTCAAGAGGGAGAACTCCTGACACTGTAATTTTTTGTTTATTGTATTATTACAGACACCATTCACTTTCTTTAATTTTTACTAAATCAGTGTGAAACATGGTGGATATGAAACATCTCAGTCATAGAATCATTAAGGTTGCAAAAGACCTCCATGATCATTGAGTCTTACCTTTGAGTGAGCACCACTATGTCAACTACATCATACACTAAGTGCCATATCCAGTTTCTTGAACACTTACAGGGATGGTTACTCCACCACTTCCCTGAGCAACCCATTCCAACCCAAACCATTTTATGATCCTATGAAAGTATTTTATAGATGTCTAAGTCACTTTACATTGACATTCTTTTTGCTTGTATTATGAATAGCAACATAAATCTCTTAAAATAATTTCATATTTATTAAAAATATCTGGGATACACCTATTTCTAGGAAAACTGATTAATCTCTGTACATACATATACCTTCATAACATCCTTCAACTTCTTTGAAGCAGCACATAAGAAGTACAGTTATTTGCCAAAGTGTGTCACCTTCACCTCTGTCATACATAAAAGATTTGCCAGTGACAAAAGAGCCCCTTAACCTCCCAAATCTGAGGCAGGAAGATCTATTCTTCAGGACTTTGTCATTGCAGTCTTATTTTCCATGTAAGAGCTTAGTACAGGTTTAGTGATATTGAAGCCTGCTTTCCCTTGTCTTCTACTAACCCATGCCAGACATTCTCAAATCCTAGCTATGCTTTTCCAGAGCAAGGTGATGTGGTCTCTGTAGCTCGCCACAGCACAAAAAGGTCTGAGACACCACTTTTTGAAGGGTAGCAGACTCTCTTTTCTGGACAAAGGAAAAAAAGGGCCAATGACCAAACTTTTGAATGGTACTAACTAAAGTCAGTTCCCAAAGACACCTCATTAAAATTCCTTTGAAAGTGTGACATGGACTAAGGTTTCTCTTCATCAAACCCTGCTTGGCATTCCTTGGAGGCATATACAAATATCTCTGGCAATTATGTGTTCTGTGACAAGATCTGCATTTGGAAAGAGTAAAGTTATCATGTGAGAGGAAGATCTAATACTTAAAATTCTACACACTCATAATGAGCCTTTATCTAGTCTGGTATCAGAGATGTCAGCTTAAGAGTTAATTAAAAGCAAAGCAATTGCACACTGCTTCACAACACCTTCCATTGTAGCAGTTGCAAGTCTGGAACATGCTTAGCTGGAGTTTACATTTGTGCCAGGATATTTAACAGGCACTGGTGAGTATTTTAGTCATGAATTTGTCATTATTAAGTATTTTTTATTTATAGTTTCTGTGACCTCCTATGGGAATGAGTTCCACATTTTAGTGACACTTTCCATATGTGAAAAAATATTCATCCATAACATTTATATAGAAACTCACCATCCGCAGTAAAATGAAAATAAAACTTCTCCTTAAAAGAGAAGCCTAATGTTGTGCTGCAATAAGATTGGTAATATTTCCTATTTTTCATTGATGCAAATAACTCTCTATGGTTTATAATGTCAAAAATTAGAAAAGAATGCAACAAGTGCATAGTTTCTACTGAGTAGCTCTCTTTTATTTTTGATGCCTCACACTGGTGTGTTTGTATCTTTTCATCTGGAAAATAGCCATTACAAGAGGTGTCCAGATGCAAGAGGAGCTTGTAGCCAACTCACTGTCAGCTGTGGGCAGGCAATGGCCCAGCAGGGGAGAAACCAGCCCAAAGGCAGCAAAGACCCTGGAGGTCCATCACCCACTGCAGTCCCAACACCAAACTGAGGCTGCTGGATTGATCCTCCAAGTGCAGCACCACACAAAAACACCTGACTTGCTTCCATATCTGGCTTGGACCTGGAAATAATTTGGGGGTTTTATGTGCAACAAACTCTAATAAACATCCTGCAGAAGCTCAGCTAAATGCCAGCCTATGGACTTGTCAATGAACTTTCACCGGTTCCTCATCTTTCTGTTCCAAAGGGTTGATGTGCTTCACAGGAATGTTCTGGGCAGGAACAACCCAGCCCCTGGAGGGCACGATCCCATCCAGGTAATTCCCAGTGCCCAGGGCTATTTGTAGCAGAAAACCCTTACAGCCTATGGCATGGGCACTGCTGGGCAGTGCCCAGATACCTCATCTGGGCTGGCTCCTTGAAAACACTCAAGTGTCTCCCCATGTATGCACAGGTTTAAGCACTTGTGGTAAGCGTGAGATTCCCATTTGCCGTGCAGCAAGTGCTGGCTGGATATGCTCCTAGCAGAAAAGCAATGCTCAAACCTCTTGCTAAGAGCTGGAAACAGACATTTTAGTCTTAATGCTTAGGCCTTCTGCTACTGACTTCTGACACGGGCTTTGGCTTGTTCTGTGGACCTCAAGTGAACCAAAAGGATATGAAGGTAAAAATCTGAAACAAAGGTAAATCTGAAAGAAAGCCATGTTTCAGAAATAGGAAGGCTACAGAATGGCCATTTCTGTCAGTTTTTGCATTGTGCACTCAAGATTGTATTGTTTAATGTATTTCTGAGTTGCGACAATGCATTGGAAGAGCTATAAAATCCCTGGAATAAACAAAACAGCAATTTATGGGACAAACTGATGAAACAGAAAAGCCAATTTTTAGTGCAGGAACTGAGTTGAGCACAGTCTAAAGAGTTCTCCATCTCAATCCAGACTGCAGACAGAATTTCTAATGTGCTGAGCTCTGTACTTTTCTGTTTTGGCAGTTTGTATGGTTTGTTGTTACTTCAAATGTTTTTGTTAAAGATTGAGAATAATGAGACACAATTTTCTTCCCAATGGACCATGACACATAGTGGTTAAATCTGCAAAGAGGAATGTGTGCATACTGCCAGCAATCCAGATGAGGTCAGTGACAGAAGTAGGGGTGAGTGGGCAAAATACATACCCAAAAAAATCCATTAACAGTTTTTCTAATTAAATTATTGTGCTCTTTAGAATGAGAAGCTAGCCAAGAAAAATCAATGGCTGGTTGCCATTGTTATTTTCTAGAGTACTGCTGTTAAATACTCACATAAAAGGAAAGTGATCATGACTTCAGTAACTGTTCTTGCACAAGACCACAAACTCACTTAAAGAAAACCAGTTGTTTTTTCTTAGGGGTAGTTCAAAAGAGCCAGTGAGGATCTGGGCATGTTCCTGTATGTATCAGTCTCTGTGCACCTCTGGTTGTCCTGATATTGGCAGTCTCCACAGGCACCACCAGGCTGTGCCACACATGCAAAATCATTTAATCACCTGGCACAGGTCTGGAAGGTGGCTCAGCACCTCACTAGGGCACTCAGCAGAGCTAGAGTCAGGCATAAGAGTTTTGGTATGCACACCAGCTCCTGTCAGCATCATACAGTTGGGGCACATCCTGATGTAGTGTTTAATTGATAAAAGCTTCAAAGCTTGCCCTTTGCATAGATGGACATTACCACTCTTTCAGGATTAAGGTGTAGAGACAAGAGATGGGCTTTGGTTGAGAGGAAGCAGGTGGCTAACTTCACAACAGAGATTCTCTGAGGGAGAGGTGCCTCTTTTTACTGTTTCAGAAACATTCAGCTCTGAGTACAGCATGACAGGTCAGTCTATTCTTCTTTCCTCACCACTTTAGTCTAACGTCACTAGTTAAGCCTATTATTAAAATTGCAATGACAGATCTTCAAGATTTTTGTTTTCTTCTTGTCTTTCAATAGGAGAAAAGATAATGAAGGTACTAGACACATTATTCAGCAAAGTGACTGCTACATCATAGAGACCCATGTCAGGGTTTGTGAACCACAAAGGAAATAAGTGAATGTAGATCCACTTAGGCTGTTTCCTCAGAATTCTTGGTCACCATCCCAGACCATTATCATTTCACAGGACATAGCAATGATAGTTGTCCTACAAGTCTAGCCATCTGTACATAATAAAAGTTCATATTTTAAGCATTTCAGGACAGATCCAGTGGAAACCACAAACCTATTTGGTTTCTCTCATAAGTGCCAGACAGCAAGCAGGAGCTGAGGATACTTCAATAAAAAACTAAAAAGTCTGACTTATCTCTTCTGACCAAGTATAACTTGTCTCTAGACAAGACAGAGTTTTCTCATGAGATCAGTGGGAATGTGTGCTAAGTCTAATAACAATAAAGTTTCTATAAAAGAATGAGAGAGACAGGTACACAACTAGCTGCCCAGTGAAATACTAAAATTTCTCTTTTTCTTTTTTTTGGTAATAAATGGTGTCAAATCTCAGGGCTGGTTTTAAGAATAAATTTTTCTTCTTCCTTCAGTGCAGTGATTTATTGCATCCTTTAACAACATGAGTCCCTTAGTCTTGGCTCATGTGCAGTATGTTTTAGTGTTAATGCATTTTTAGGTAAATACATCTGGAACTTTTGATTTGTATGATATTAGAAGCACTTGACAATGCTGTCTTTGTTTAACTTGTAAAGGCCATGTCCCAGCTTGAAGAATTCATTCTACTAGATCCACAGAAATCCTGTTGCCTTCACAAAAATAATCAGTGTTCTTTACATTCCTATCCACAGAAACAGTATTTTTGGTGAAACAGGTTCCTGAACAACAGGTAAGTACAAATCCTACTTAAGTCTTTGTTCTGAACTCAGGTCACTAGGACATTATTAGCACAACAGTTTGCACGTGTTATCCCTCCCACTGTGGTCCAATCAATTCTGTGAGAAGCTGTGCTGAAAATAACAGTGGTTTAACAGTAGATAATCAATTTATTTTGGGGTTTTTGCTAATTATGAAAGCTATAACTTTTTTGGCATTCCAGGCTGAGCAGGCAAAGAGGTTACATGGTGTTTTATCCAAATCAGAACTGAGATTTCCACTTAAAAACATTTGCTTTTGGTATTTCAATGTGAAAGTTATTCAGCCTTCATTTCCAATAGACCTGGATGAGTTTGGTTTCTCATTTCCTGCATACCATGTAGATTTGAATATGTCACAGCATATATATAGGTGCTCAATCTCCTTTTCTCATGTTTATAAGACTAATTATGTCTTTGGGCTGTAACATAGTCAACTGTACCTTAACTGGTCTTTTTCTTCTATTAATTAATAATTATGATTAAGTTTTACAAAGAAATAATTTGTAATCAAATTGGCATAATAGAAACTGAGAGTTATTAAAAAACTTGGCAAAGTGTCCATTTTGGTCTATTAATTCTGCCAAGTGAGTTGATAATAAGATTGAACTGGATTTGAAAGATTAGAGAGACTTGGCTTAGAAGGATATGAAGGTTAGTTCCCTACAGCTTTTTCAGCTGCTTAAATGGAGACAGTATTTGAAATTTTGTCCATAATTTTGTGATGAATTCTTTCTATAATCTTCTTCTGGGGGATAAAAATGGTGCCAAAATTTTAAAAAAAAAATTAGCTGAAGACTTATCATTTTCCATCAGCTTTGGATGGTGAAATCAACCTGCACACAGTCCCAAAGTTTATTAACACAGAAGCTTATGCGTCAGGGCCTGAGGGATAACTGATCAGGTGGCCCACATGCTGCGACAGTGTAACTCAGACAACTCAATTTTAAATGTTTTTTATTTTGTGCTGCAGACTATAGGCAGAGGAACATAGTAAAATTAAATCAAAGGAATCAGTGCAAGATGACTTGTGGCTTCTTGCATTGATTTTGCAGAAATTGTTTCTCCCTGTTTCAAGTACAAGAGAAACTGCACAAATAATTGAAAATAGAAGTGACTGGTCACAGAAAGAAACAGATAGAAAAAGCAGGCAAACACAACCCTGACGAAATCAGCAGCTTTCTCAGACCATCAGGTTTGTCTCTTTGATGAATGATAAAGCCCTGTTTTCAACTTCGAATGCCTATTTCTAATGTATCATTCATAAATCAAAAAGTCTTTGCAAATTCAAATGTGTCTGCAATTTTTTTAAAGACAGATTAGAAAAAACACTTGTGTTTTCAGCAACACTATTACAAGACATTGCATGAGCCCTATAAAAATGTCTTACAATTATTCCATAGTTCCATCTTTATGTGCATGCAGTTTTTCCCTGCACTTGTGGCACCCAGGTTAAACATTTCTATCATAAGCCCAAAGCAATGCATGAAAGCAAACAAGAGCTGTCAGTCCAGAACATCCAGATATATGACATGGTACCATTCTTCTTAGGAAAAGGCTTGGGGACAGAAACAGTTTAAAGCCATTTAGTCATGGAATTTACTGTTCAGATATGGAACAGGTTGTGCAGAAAAGCTGCAGATGTCCCATCCCTGGAGGTGTTCAAGGCCACGCTGGGTGGAGCTCTGAGAAACATGGTGTGGTGGAAGGTGTCCCTGGGAGGGTATTGCAACTAGATAATTTTTAAGGTCCCTTCCAACCCAAACAATTTCATGCTTGTATATTTCCTGAGGTGTAGATATTTTTTTGTCTCTTCTAACAAAATGAGCCTATTTCAACAAGCCTGGAAATTCATGCTTGTTTCTGGGCCTTCTGAGGGCAGATGGATGGAAGGACCTCCAACAGGATTTGGATGTTATTCCATTAAAGTTTTGTGCTCTCCATAGTGTGAAAAAAAACCCTGATGATTCCCCTCAACAATCAAAATCCTGTTAGGATGACAAGCATTCACTGTGTCTTGAAACCAGGAGGAAGTTACTGTAGTGGCTTCACAATACTCTTGTCTTGAGGATTAGGCTCTCTGGAAGAAACATCTCCTTCTAAGGGGGCTGGCATTCAATAAATCTGAATGTTGAGGGTTGAAACAATCTACCCTGGGAGCTGCTGGATAATTGGTCTTTGCCCCCTTTCAGGTAGATGTGTAATACTCCTCCCTAATTCCCCTGCCAGAAAGATGAGCCAGGTGTGTGAAGAAAGATGAAGAAGAAATATGAGCTATGGCAGTCAATAACCTGACATGTGAAGGTGTGAAGGGAGCCCACGCAGCAGCTGTGTTTTCCCCCCAGCAGCCTTGGAGAGTGCAGGCTCTTTCTGCCAACCCCACGTCCTGGCATGACCCAGGCCGGGGCTTGTAGGCATCACTCAGCCTTGCTTCCATCAAGGAAAGCAAGGCAAACTTAGCACATGAGCTCCCATTTCCCTGTCCAGCTGGCTGGACACAAAGCCAAGCAGACTAGAGGAAAACAAGTATCTGTGCACCCTGCTGTGAGCTGAAATGGAGGACATGAATCAGGCATTGTCTTCCCCCAGCTGTGGCAAAGTTGAGTCCCAGAAGAGAAAAAACATGGGCAATGATGAAGTAACATTGTGAAGCTCCTTTGCCACACCTGTCAGAGCTATCAATGTTGTTTTGTAACAGGTTTTCTTTTCTCCAGAAAGCATTTGCAGAAGCCAAGAGTTGTACGTTCTAGCTCTGCTCTTGATCCCAGGTGTCACCTCTGCATAGCCTTCCTTGAGATTTCCTTAGATAATGCCTGTCTAAACCTCTGGATGGGACACATCATCAAGCTACTATGGGGCAAAGGACAGAACAGGGGACAAAATCAGAGCAAAAGTTCTCTGTTTTCTTTGGGTTTCTAGTGCAGACAAGGTGCAAGAAGATACATTTCACCATCTTGCCCTGATGTGTACTGAATTAAAAAGAAAGGCCACCAAAAGGTGACTTAAAAATATAACTTAATGATCCCGATTTAGGTCATGGAGATATTCTGCAATCATAACAAATCTTAAAATAGGCTGATATATCTGCTGTTCAAGATGGAGCACAGTTGTAGAAAAAGGTACAAAATATTTTATTCATAAGTCTAGCAAGACTGGGAGCTCAAGCCGACTGTGCTGACCTACTTTTCATGAATACCAGATCTCACACAGCTGTGCTGCTTGTCTCAAAACCAGTGGTACCACAGATGAACCTGCCATTCTGTCCACTTCAGAGTAGTGAGTTAAACATGATGTTTAGCCCCAGTGTTTTCTTCTTTGTGTTTTATTTGAATTCATTGCAGTGATAGAATGATTTTTCTTTGTTTTTACTATCTGGTTTTGGTCAGAATTGCTGGCTTAATACTTGCAGAATGTAAAAAACACCCCTCAGCATGAAGCATTAAAATAATGTTGCTGTCTTTCTTGGAGCCTGGAATCATACCTAGTGTAACACCATTACAAAAAAAAATGCAAAATACATATTTTTGTTCACTGTGTTTTAAAACCATGTTCTGTCAGTGATATACCCTTTCTGTGGTGGAATTCAATATCCTGATGTTTCCAACCGAATAAGTCTTTTTAGTATTAATTTATGGATACTCAAATTACTGCCACTCATTTGAAACCTCTTACAAAAAGAAATTTGATATTCTACAGGTCTTTGTATAATAACCAAAACTGAATTTGGCACTCCTCTCCATTTTTCCTTTCTTCTAAGTAAGAGCATTTTTCTGTATTTTTATTCATCTCTGAAACACAGAGATCTCATTTTCTTTTTTATTAATCTCTGAAACATAGAGATCTCCCTTTCTTTTTTTTCTTTTAATAAAAAGCAGCATGCTATGTGTTATATGCGCTAATGAATTGGCGTTTATAAAACAGAATGTATACTGTATCTAAGACAACTGCTATGAAAATGTCTGAGTTGCTGCACTCTCTAAATAGAGCACAATTATGGCATACGGTTGGAGTGCTTTTATCTGTACTGCCACTGCTGGAAATTTAACTGTGTATGTGACCTGAATATTTAGAGCTCAGTGGAAAATTCCATGAATGTGGTGTAGCTTCAGAGCACCTAACAGCTGTTACAAATATTATACCCATTATACAGCATTGCTAAATTATACATATGAAGCCCCTCTCCCATTCTGGGTGTATTCTATCACTTCTGCAGTATTTTAACAGGCCCTTTGAAAAATGCAATGACTAGTGCTAAGTAGCTTGCATAACAATTCAGTGGAAGTCTTTCCTGTCTGTATATTCATAATCCTTCCTGGCTGGGTGCAGTTAATTTTCAAACCCAAAAATGCAGGAAGAAACTATATCATGGGTAGACCACATTTACTGTGTGCTTTTGTTTGCTTAGTTTGATATACATGTTAAAAGCAACTACTTAGCTGAGCAAACACAAAAAGAGAAGGAGCAGCTCTTCACAGTGTTAGAATGTTTCTTATTATAGTAGTATGGAGCAGAGATGTAGTATATCCATGGATGCTGCCTTTCACTCTTCGTTACTACAGGACTACACGGACACTGAAGAAAATTGTTGTAGCAGGAACTGCAGAAACAACAGAGAGAGTTTATGAGAGCAAAAGAGAGATTTTGTAAAGCATTATGTTTAAAACAACACAGCAGTTTAACTAAGATTACACAGGCTGCAGACTGGCTTCCTATCTAGTGATTCTTCCTCCCTCCTACTTACAGTTCAGTTCCTCCTGTTTTTATGCTGCTGCAGCATATTAAAATACTCTTTTCTGTAGAGAAGAGAAAAGTGCTAAATGTGGTGCACCCAACAGCCAACCTGCTGCTACAGCACTGCGCCGGCTGCACAGGGAGACAGGGCAGGTGAGGAAGTGTTAGCTGACATCCACGTAGGAGTCCATGACTGCCAGACTCATCTCAGCAACACAGAGGTATTAAACTTAGTGTAAAAGTAATGGCAGTTTCTCTACCTAAAAGCAAGGTCAGTGTGGCAAAGTAGTCTACATGGGGAGGAGCCAGGAAGGCTGTAGATTCCAAGAACTTGCCTATCACTGAGCAAGGCAAACACTGCCCATGTCACTCCTGACTGACAGTACTTGTGTACTTGGTTTCATAGTCTTCCATAAGTGACACCATCTCTCAAGGCCATCTGTTCCAGCACTTCTCTGTCCTTGACCTTCTAAAGTGGGACTTTTTGTCAAATGTCTAATGGGAATCTTTATTGTAGCAGCACATGCCCATTGCAACTTGCCCTAAAGGAGCAGAAACAGAACAGATTGTTCCCTTCCTCTCTGCAATACTGCCTGTGCACATTGATCCTCCCAGTAACCCTTGCTAGTATTAATAAGAATCATCTCCTCGATTGATGGAATGGCAAGGATATTGCATGTGTGTCTCTGTCAGTAAAAAATGGGAGAAAGAGAGAAGAACTAACCAGCTGTCTAAATCAGGGTAATGGCAATCTGCCCAACATACTAGGGTATGTCAAAGTAGAGCTAAAATAATCCAGCTCCACTGAAGATCTTGCAACATTCCTACAAGGAAACAGTCCTTGAGTACTCCTGATCACCGGGAACATGGTTGAAGGAGACCCTTCTTGTAGGAAACCCAGCCCTAGCCCTTATGGATGGGTTAGTTCTGTTGGTTAGAGCACAGTGGTAATGCCAAGGTCATTCACTTAAGAGTTGGAGTTAATGATCCTTGAGGGTCCCTTCCATCTCTGAATATTCTGTTATTCTGTGATTTGTGCAGATGAGACTAATTACAAACACTGCCAGTCAACAATTTCAGGGATATCTTTTTCAATCAAATCCTGTTAAACTCATGAGATATAAAGTCCAACTAAAATTTAAAAGAGGTAATGAAAATTATTTTATTTATTGGTTCACAGCTTAGTACTGTGGCCACCTCATACTTCAATACAATTGCATCAGATAATTGCACTACTGAAGGCTTCACTGCATTCCCTGGCTTCTTTGAATAATGCAGAGGCATCAGAGCAGGTTAATGTCATTGATTATCTCTGTTCTTTAAATGCTTTGCATTGTCTCCAGGTCTTTACCAAATTTGCTAATGGACCACAGTTGTTAAGTCCCATTTTGAGGGTCAGAGTCATGGCAAAGGTAGGAGTCAGACAGCACCATACTCCACAGACATGTCAAATAATGTAGTCATATCCAAGAACCTTGGGAGAACCAAATCCAGACAAAGTTGAATTTTACTTCAAAAAAATTTACTTACAGAAAATATAAAATTTTTGTGTTAAATGAAAAAACATATTTGAGGATATGACAGGGGATCTTTAATAAAAAGGAAGGATTCTGAAAAAAAAACCCAAACTTTTTTGTGGTACAACAAAGACTCTCTAGCACAGGAGACACAAAATATCCCTGACCACTTAAGTATGATTTGTAATGCCCTTGTGTTGTTAGGAGCTTTCTCAGTTCTATGGGTAAATTACGCAATGTCATTAAATGTAAAGCAACTCATGCAACTTGCTGAAGCTGCACATAATTAAAATGCAATAGAAATACTTTAATGCAAGAACTTATAGTCATTCTCCCTTCAGGAGAGAACAGTGTGTTTGTGTACTGACAGACAGAAGCAACTACCTCCTGTGCACAGGGAGTGCTGCTGGTGGAGCAGGGACTGAGAGCAAGGCAAGGATCTGCTTCCTACCCTTCCTCACACACTCACATCCCTCCTGAGATGACCCAGGCAAGGAGCCTGGGTGCACCGAGGTCTTACATGCTCTGAGAAACCCTCAGTGGCATAAGCAAAGCTGGTGACTCCATTCCCCACATCACACTGGGCACAAACCTCCCAAGGGGCTCATGGGCAGATGGCAACATGGTCCCAGGGGTGTGGAGAGGCTGGGCCAGGGCTCAGCGTGGGCCTGGGAAGGAGGCATTGTGCCAGTCCCAGCTTTGGCTTAATGAAAACATCAGCGACTTTGAGAGACTCTTTGTGCTCCCTGGGATTTTGATTTAAAGGCTCACATCTCTTTCAGTCCAAAACAATTAGCATCACCTGCCACCTATTTCTTTCTAATTGTAATTTCTGATGTAAAGCACCTCCCATAGGACTTCAGTGACTTCTCTAAATTTCACTATTACTATTTTTACATAATCATAAGAGTCTTGAGATTGTATTTGAGGCTTCTTGTTTAATTCATATACAAATCAAAAATATTTTCAGTGTCAGGCATGTCACTGTCTTTTTATCACAATAAGTTAATAACCTCACTCTCTTGAGAAACTGAATACAAATCCTGGTCTTATAGCATATTAGGTTGGCTTTCCTGGGATTAAAATTTTGACTTTATCTTGAATTTACAACCTTACTTTTTTCAATGTTGTACCCTGTTGCTACCCTTTCTCCTGAGGGAATGCTGCACACTTCATCCAGAGTCACTGAAAATTATTGAAGAATCATGGAATCGTGGAATGTTTTGGGTTGCAATAGACCTTTGAAGATCATCTAGTCCAAACCCCTGCTATGGGCAGAGACACCTTCCATTAGACTTCGCTTCTGAAAGCCCCAAACAGCCTTGTCTTGAACACTTCCAAGGATGGGGCATCCACAGGGTCTCTAGGCAGGCAGTTCCAGTGTCTCATCATCTTCATTCCTTCCTTAAATCTAATATAAATATATTCTCTTTTATTTTGAAACCATTAATAAGATCAACACCAGAGGCTACAGAAACCTTACCCCCAGCAATGACATCATTAATCATTAATCATTAATTAGCATTACCCTTTGGGAAGCACTCTTTTGCCAATTCTCGCAGTTTAACTGCAAATCTTTGAAAAACTCAGATCCTAGATTTGTGGGACAGGGAATGAAGCATTTAACAAGAAAAAAATGTTTTAAAAAGGGAAACTATAATGGGCTGAAATACCACAATACAGATAAAAATTATTTAAATGGTATTTTAATGCACTTCTGATTTTAAAACTAAAGTGAAAATTTTGCTTCCCTCTGACTTATGATACTAATCACAGTAAACAAATCCTAAAACTTTTGTGTACTTAAAATTCTAATACCTTGTGAAAGAAATGCAATTGGCAGCTACCATGGCTGTATTTGGAGCAGTACATGGGGTCATTTTGTTTAGGTGAAGGATTTTCTTTCATTGGAGAGCAGAAGCATAGTGGGGTTTCATTGCAGTAATGTGATAAATCTGGGATTTTCACCAAACCTCCTATCCTTATATTCTCCCTGATGTATTTTATAATGAGAAAAATCTCATTATGAAGCTCTAGAACTCTTTTGTCCCCCACCATTGTTTTGGTTGGTGTTAGAAGGGAGGATGACTGGCAGGAGCAGGAAGAGTTAAGGCTCCCAGTCAATACAAGGCACATGAAGTACTGTGGATCCAGCCCAGCCCAGTGGTAACTAATGGCCATGGAAGACGTAAAACAACAGCTATTAAAGCAGCTGGTGCCTCCCATCAGTTCTCAGTGCAAGTCCTAGTGACACTGAGGGGTGACACCTGCCCTGGTGTCTTGGAGTGATAGCCATGCTTGTGGCCAGGCTGGAGCTCCTTGAACTGGTGCTGCTGGGTCTGAACTCAGAGTAGACAAGCAGAATGAGGGCACAGGGTTCTTGCACTCTTGTCACAACCCCTTCCCCCTGCAGCAGTAGCTGGCCATAGCAGCTGTGGATTAGGACCCCAGCATTCTAGGGGCTCCTGTAGAAGGAGTGACAGAAAAGTGGTAACAGAAATCGTAGCACAGAAGGGATCCCTGCACTAATGACTTTCCAGGCTAAATATCCACCCTGTACGTAGACAGCTTCCTTTCTCAGGTTACTTATCTCAAGACCTTTCCTCATTAGAATCATTGTCAGACATTTAAAAAGATAAAAATTCAGTTTCATCTTTGTTGTCTGGTTCTTATTTCACGGCTCAAAATTCTATAGGATAGAAATTGATCCATGGAGGTTTTTCTGCACTTTTTGGTTTCTATCTATGTTACGTTGTAAGAAGTAAAACATGAAACTGAGTCAGCACAAAACACAAAGGCAGCAATTCCCTGTGTTGCATGTATTTAGCAAGAATAAACAGCAGATGTCAGCACTAATCCAGAACTTGAAATCACAGAGTCACAGAATATGCATGGAATTTAGTCAGACCCTGCTTTACTGTTCTCAGAGTGCATATGATTAGACTGTGAAAAAACTCATCAAAACTTCTGCTTGGAAGTATATCAATATTTGAAGAACCTCAATAAATTGTGTGCATCACTTCTACATGAGACCTCTTAAGTTCTTTAACTAGTAAGGGAGCATGTGTCTGTAGGTAGGTTTTTTGGGTTATTTTTTTGCTTCAACTGTGCCCTAGAAGACCACTAATTCCATACACCTCCCTAAAAATTTAATTGTTTTTCAAAAGTGGCTTTAGAGGAAATAGTTTGGTAAATGGCAAACACAAAAGTTCAAGAGACACCTAAGGAGTAAGTAGACCTCAAGAGAACCAGAAGCCTCTTGGTACACTTGGCAGTGGAGGCTGCAGTTTAGCCTTGATTTGGGGTAGAACAGAATGGGACAAGTGAGTGAAATGGGTGTAAGAACACAGCTTCTGTGGCCACTTGAAGAAGACTCCCTATCTGTGAAACAAACTAGTGGTAATTTTCCTGGAAATGAAGCATAATTTAGCTGTGCAAGTACACACAAACCATGTGCACCTACTTGCTGAACTACATGAAGATGTGGGAATAGGAGAACAGAATCCTCCTTGCCTAGCCACCAGCACTTTGAGGTCAGTGCATGATGGATTCCTTCTGGGGGACATACAGCATACATTAACACATTGCCTCCCAGTCCCTGGAGACTCTTTAACCTCTTGAGAAAGGAGAAAAAGAAACATTTAAAATGTGTTAGAGATTGCACAGGTGTTCCTGCTAGCATGAAGCTCAGTGAATAATTCAGGGTTTTGACCATAGCCACTAGAGATAGAAGAGCCTATGCAATACCTATGATAGAACCCAGGATTGCTCTTTCTGATATCTGTGGTGGGATCCCTCAAATCTTGCAGCAATCTGATGTCTGCAGCAGATCATCCCTGATAAGGCTGCTTCTAACAAGAATCTTTCAAAAGTAGGAAAAAATACTAGTCAAAAATAGTAGCAATTTTTATATCAGTGCTTAGAAATATGTGGGTTTCTTCTGTCGTGGGTTTTTTCCTAACCTTCTGAAGCATGCTCCATCAAAATCAAAATGTGACAGACTTAATGGATTTATTATCTACAACTATAGCTTTGTCTCCAAGGATTGCATGTTCCTCAACTGACATTGAATGGAAGAGGACCAGAAATATACCCAGGATCAATTATAAAAGTAAAAATAGCTTGGCTATTTAAAATCATATTAGTTCTCATTACAAAAGCAAATTGATAGGTGTTTATGTTATGAACTTAAAAAACTCAGATAGTTCCTCCTGAGCCAAGAGTGAAGTCTCAGTCTGAACAAACTGGCACATTGCCCATAGCTACCTTTATTTTTCAGCAACCTCCATCACATTACATCCATCTGCCTTCCCTGTCATTCTGTGCTCCCTGAACTTCTTTGCTCTGTTATTAAAAAAATAAAAAAATAAAAAAGAATAGGCCGTTTTTATTAACTTGTAAAACAATTTAGTTTGATTCATCTTCTCTGACCAGAAGAACAGAAGAGGTCATCAATCTTAATTTCTCTGTCAGCACAGATATGTCAAATCAGAATTAAGTGGTACGAAAATTGTTGAGGGAGAAAGTGGAAAAAACAAGACAAACAAAATAGAAGACAGTTCTCAGAAGAGGAGAAAAGAAAAGGACTGCTGCTGAGCTGTTATGATGCCACCAGTTGATGCTCTGTTAGGCTAGAAGCTTCATTTTTCACACAAAATCAGAGAAACTGTGATACCTGAGAAGGCTTGCAGGCTTTTAATAAATTCAGAAAAAAAAACCAGTAAATTAAATTGATTCTCCTGTGAATTAACAATGCTTTTATCTCCATTTCTATAATACCAAAAAATTTCTTCTTTGAAATAAGTTGCATACTCTTTTCTTTGCAGGATACTCCAGTGGAGGATTACAGTCCTCTCCGGCCTTCACCTGTGACATGCTCTCCCCAAGGTGTCTTCTCTCATCTTAAATGATGACTGGCTCTTTTCCAAACCAAAGCACAGAAGACTGAATTTTCTACTATTTTCAGCACTTTCTTTATGCACAACAGATGCTCTTATGCATTACCCCAAGGAATAGTATGAGCTCTGTTACACTGTGAAGATGAAGAAATTTCGGCATCTCCAAAAGTAAAGTTAAATCATACACTCTGTCTACCATAAATGTCCCACTTGTAGACTTCTGATATTAAAAATATTAACAAAAACTTCAGATGTTTTGTATTACCTCTCCAGCAATGACAGAATAAGTACTGGATTAAGTTTTGTTAGCTCAGAAAGTGGTTAAAATTCTCTACTCCTTGAATTCCCTGCCAGCCAGAAGGAGCACTGAACAGCTGATGGATGACCTTTCACTTACCTCACTGGCAGGCAAGATTAGCTCCAAACCCAATACAACACAACGGCCTGACCACGCATACACAAAGGTGAGCTTTATGGAAGAAACTTTTGTAAATACTAACAGGTAAGTGAAAAGAGGATTTTTAGCCCCTGAAGAATGTCTAGGAATCTGGGAGACCTTGAGGACAACAATACAAAGGTATAGAATGTAGAAGGTTCCATCTTGCTGCATGTCTTCATATCCAAAGTAATTTCTTCTCCCCATTCATCATTATCTTTTCTATCCCATATGGACAAGGCTTCAGCCAGATCTTTCTCACCAGAAATGTACCTCATTCATGCACTGAGGGAACAAATAAAATGCATTATCTATTATTTGAGGGGGAGGAGGGGGACATTTAAATGGGGGCAATGTTGTTTTTTATTTAATTAGTGTTGGCTTTATGTCCCATATAATTTTGGTCCCTCCAGTCGTTTCACATGAGAGCAAGCAGCTGCCAGAAGCTAGACCCTGCAGAGCACTTCCTCTTGTCCCTTCCTTTAAATCCCCCCAGGGAGGAGAGGACAGATGTTTCTGGTGCCCACAGGGACATTCAGATGAAGAGACCCCAGAGTCTATCAGATGTTGCTGACAGTTTCCAGTGAATGAATATAAATTAATATAAATATGACAAAAACGTCATCCTGGTGGAATGGAGCAAGAGAATCACCTAATGTAATGAATGCAGACATTTTCAGTTCACTGCTTGCTTCCTGAAACTGTTCTGGGCTACTAAAAAGTAATTTATATACAGAAGTGTAGTGGGTGCTAAAGGGAGCTTTCAAAATGCAGAGGTTTTATGAAGGTAGAGCTGTAATTTGTGTGCAAACAAGTGAGACAGGTCAAATTTTTTCAAGCACTTCTATAAACAAGGCCATTCATGAAATGCTGAGTGAATAGGAAGTAGGTGGTTCTCTCAGGAATGCCATCTTACATTTTCTTTAAAGACCTTCTGACCATTCTGACCAGTAGCTCCTTTGTGTGCCTTTATTCCTTATCTGTGATCCCATCTGTCACAAGACCTTCTATGTCCTTAAATATTACCTCTTATGTGACCACTCCAGTACAAAGGAGGTTAAATATTTATGTAGCGCATAACTATATGCCAGTGGGCAGAGTGAGTGAATAGGAGAATGCAGGCTTGTGTAGTTCCACAAAGGCATGACTTTGGAGAGAAAAAGATGCAACCTCTATCTGCCTACAGGGATACCACAGTTTCTTATTTACCACTTTACATCACAGAATCATGGAGTTAACTATGTTGGAAAAGAATTTTGAGATCATCAAATCTAACCTATAACCTAACACCACCTTATCAACTAAACCATGGCACTGAGTGCCACATCCAGGCTTTTTTTAAACACCTCCAGGGACAGTGACTCCACCACCTCCCTGGGCAGATGATTCCAGTGCCCAAAAGAGTTTTTTCAGAAAAGCAGGATTGTGCTAACCATCTTTTTCGGATAAGAACAGACAGACATTGTTTTGATTTTCAGGACATTTGACAGGTTTTAATTATCAACATTGGAACATATTCTAACAGGGGATTCTTTAAGCAGCCCTCTCAGAAAAGCAGAATTTAGCTCATTCATCCATTCAGAGAGATAAAGTGCTAAAAAGAATTGTGTGTTCTATCTAGTAAAGACTTATAATTTCACACTCTTTGTCACAGTATTATCATTTATACTTTGTTTTAATAATAGATTGCTGCAAAACCATGAGTAGTTCTTAAATATTTTGCTTTTTCCTTACTAGCTGCCCACTGATTCAAAGACTTATTTAAAGAGAGATTGATTCTTTTCCTCCCAACTCTTCGTAGGCAAAAATTCATAATCGTATCTGAGCACCCCACACGCATTCAAGAATTTTGTTGCACATACTGCCCATGAGAATGCAGCTATTGCTGTCCCCACCTTTGTATTTGGAGAATTAATGCATTGAAGGACTGAAATCAGATTTATTCTAAATACCTATTTTAAGAGAAGGAGGGTGTGAATGTTATAGTTGCAGCTCTGAACAGTGATTTTGCAATAATTTCAAGTCAAACACTTCAGATATAGCCTCCAGGTCCCTTGTGACCCTCTTATTCCTCTCCTCCTGGACTCATGAAAAAGCATCCTTTTCTTCAATATCTTCCCTGCCTTCCACTCCTTTTGCTGTGATTTAAATCCAGCTTCAGAAGAGCTTTTGGGCAGCAGGGAATTGAGATCTGAACTGATCAAAGTTTAATGGAGAACTGGCTAAGTAGGGATCTGAACATGAACTTCTCACTTCTTATAGAGCTATTATAGCAAAAAACAACCACCATCTCCACCAATACTTAGACTTAGTTGAATCTGAAGGAAGTAAGATAAGTTCAAGTGACTTCATGGAGGGTCTCTTCATTTTTGGACCCTAAATGCTGTCAAAAAAAAGGTGTAGGTGATGAATTAGTCAGATAGAAAATCATGGGCATACCCAGGAAGGGAGTATTTTCAATGTACTTTCTACCTTGTGTATTTTTATGTGTTTATTATTTACTTCATTTCATGCTGAATTCTGTAGTTTTTAATGCCTCTAATTCAACCTTGCTCTGAAGATACACCTCTGCCTAACTGCTGCATATTTTGTGGTATACCTTTAAAAATATTTCTCTCTTTCTGTGTCCTCTTCTTAGTACCCCACAGAACTCTGTCCCACAGCTTCCACCCTGTCTGGTTCCATATCTTTGTATGCATTCTAGGACATATTTTGGTTCTTGACCAACAAGAGATGGTCTCAGCAGATCCAGTTGTGATGTCAGGACAAGTCCTTCTCATCTCACAAACAGCTTGCTTTGCTTACCCAGAAATAGCAAGAGTCAGTTTGTTCCCAAGAGAAGATTCCTCTTCCACACAGGAGTGAATATGTCTTCTGTAATATTTGATCCAAAGCCACAGGTGGTGCTCTGATCTTAGAATGCAGCAGATCTGAGAAGCAGTCTACAGCAATAGCAGCAGCCTTGGATGCTTGAACATTGATGAAACATGCCAAAGAACTTCTCCCTTTTCAATGAGCTCTCAGCAGGGGCCATGAGTATGCCATCCCCCTCCCCTGTCTCTGGGGCAGTCATTTTCCATTTTCTTGAGCACATCAAGAGCGAAACCAGAAAATCATTGTACACGTCTTACCTTATCAGGTGTATCTACCTCACCCCAGCTGCTGACATGTCCAAGTTTCCCATCCAACTTCTTACCAATACATACTTCTAGTTATTATTTTAAAAATAATATCTTGCAGAAGATCACTAACCCATACAATGCCCAAATCTAATCAAGTACACCAAAATTCTGCTGAAGTTAAGACATAGGACCAAAACTGCTGAGAAATTAGAAAGAAACCCAGCCTGGCTTGGCCAGAAACACTGCTCAGATCTGCCATCTCCTCCTTCTGCACCAACACAAGCAGCCTGTGAGCCCTTCCCATAAGCCTGATATTTGCATCACAACACAACATTCCTGCCTTTTTTACATCAGGTGGCCAGAGTCCTTTGTCTTACCAGTGTGAAACAAACTGGGATGAGCTATGGGAGCAGTGTTACCTCCTGATCTCTGGTACCTACTGTCCCAGATGCTGTGTCTGGGAGCACCCCCATTCCTGCCCAGCAGCCAGATGAGGCTGTAGGGCTGATGCACGTGCTTAGTGCCCCATGTCTCTGCCCCTCACAAAGGTGCAGATGAACTCAGAGGTTTCCACTTACTGCAGCTTCCCTGCCTTGGGACAGCCACAACACCACAACCACAGTATTATAATTACTAACACATTGATCTGCTGTTTTCTTCTTCTTTTACAGGATCCATAGCCTCAGAAATGCTATAAGATAACTCAGCTATTGTGTTACTTCTGATATTACTTCTGATTGATCTATCACAATCTGCTGAAATAGGCAAAACTATCCCATAGTTACTGATGCAACTGAAATCTAGTTCATGCATATAACATTAGTACTTTAGTGCTTAATTATAGAGAAAATCAAACATTAGGCAAAAAGTCATTAAATACCCAGATAAAGAAAAAAAGAATGTCCAACATATCTACTTCTTCATTAAAAAAAGCAACATTTTTTTTTTTTTAATATAATCATCATATAAGCAAGGGGGCACTGTAGCCAGTTATGCTCATGCTTTGCATGATTGATGATTTTAATATTTTGATGCTTGGTTGACGTTTATAACATTTTGACGCTTCTAATTTTTACATCCTTTTTATTCATTTGTGGACATTCAGGGCAGGGTGGGGGTTGTATGCTTTTAAAAACATTTTGAAAACAAGAATACTGGCCTAGAAATTCTTGGAAAGAAGGCAGCTGTGCCATGTAGAAAGGAACAGCTTTGATGTATTCGAGGAAGAGTTCCTGCTGAGCTGGCATTTTATAGTTTGTTTCTGTCCAAACCGAACTGCTTGTGCTGATTCATTAGCAAAGGATCTGCTCTTTGCCAGATCACACTTCTCTGTGCCAATCTGCTTTTGCCAGGCACCAGCAGTTCCTCTACATTGCATGTGCATAGCTTCTCCAACACAGCCATGTATTAAAGCCAGTGGCAAAGGAATACCAGGATTGGTTTTGCCTTTAAAACAGACTGCTTAAATGTATGGAAATATTTGTTAGAGTTGCACCAAATTCCAAAGATTTTCAAGACCTGCAGTTTGCATGACAAACATGCCAAAACCTTTTTTCAATTAAGCAATGTAAGCATGTCTATTTCTGCATCAAATATGCAGAGTGTGTTTTGGTCAGATGCAAAGCTGTCTTTGTGCTAGATGAACACTATTTCTAATGTGAAACTCCCGACTCCTCTTCCATTGTTTTGCAACATTTCTGACTATCATCCTCCATCTTCATTTTGTTCACCAGTAGCATCTGCCCACTCTTTACTAAAGCTTTTATTTCACTCAGGAGTTTCCATGACTTACCCCACCTTAGGGGCCATCTTAACAAAGATGAGATCTTTGTGTTTTGTAAAATCTTATCCTTCTATATCCTTCTGAACCCTAAAAGGGAGAAACTGAAACTTCAAATAGAAACTCTGGTTTTGAACTTTTAAATTTACATCAGGGTCCAAGTTTCCTGCCATCTGCCCTACTGGCTGCACATGATATTTCCTTTACCTAAAAAAAAAAAAAGCTTATTTTCTAATTTCTAAAAACAGCTTAATTTGGCCTTAGCAAACTAATGTTTTC